AGAGGGGGAGCACATCCTCCCCGCAAAGATGTAGCATCACCAACTTAATCAAGTTGGTACAAATTGATTACACGACATATAAAGAAATAAAAACAGAAAACATTCCTCACATGACAATTCTTAGACAATTGCCCCAAATGTCAGGTTTACAAAATACAGTGATTATAACATTATTTTCCATTTTAGACATGCAATCAGATAGAATACTTTTCAAAAATGTCAGTTAAGCATATTAACTTCTGGCCCATTAATGTAACACCCCTGTACCCCTCCACTGCTGCTGAGTGAGTTCTAACTCACAGCGACTCTATAGTAGAGAATGAGCGGCTCCACGGGGCTTCCAAGCTGTAATATTTACGGAAGTGGGCGACTTCATGCCCCAGAATGGCTGGTGGGCTCAAATGCAGACATTTCAGTTAACAGCCTCGTGGTGAATGCTCTGGGCCACCCCGACACCTAATGTAACAGAGTCCTTTGCATCCGGCTCTTAAATATAAAATCGCATTCCTAACTTTCTACTCATAAAACAATACTCTAAATAGTTTTAGGTTCCAAGCAAATGCCAAATAGAAATAAGCAGTTTAAACCAAGGCAATCAAATGTTCAATGGAAAACAACATAAGGCAGCGTGACAAGTTCTAGATATTTTACCTTAATTCTTCTCTCGGTGTCATCCAATTTTAATTCTGCAGAGACTAGCTTCTTGGCCAGATCCTCTCGTTCAGGTAGGTGTCTAGCTTCAGAAATCTTTTTCAATTTCTTTAGAGAAAACTTTGTCCGGAATAGTTCCCCTTCGGTGTCTTTTACCCTTTTCTCAGTTGCCCGTTCTTTCTCCTGCGATTTCCTTAGGCGGTCCTTGAGTGCAGTGATCTCATTGTTATGTCGAAGGATAAGCTGTGAGATTTCATTTTCTGTATCTTCAAACTTATTCAGGGCTTTCTCTTGCCTGTACTGAAGCCGTTTCAAAGTCTTATTTTCTTTTAGCAGCTCGGCTAACTTGACCTGGAGTTCAGTCACCTCATTCTGCAGCTCAGTGATTTTTAGCAGTCTTGCAGAAAGAACTCGCTTTGTGACAACGTCGGGATCTTTCCTAAGTTGCTCCCTATTGAGGCTCTGGGAGCGA